ATTCTAGAGGTGACATCCGGTATGGGGCAAGGGAGATAGGTCCCACACCAGGCAATAAGTCAATTGCAAATTCAATTTCCCTCTTGGAGGAAAGTGCGGAATTTCATCCGGAAAGACATCCTCAAACTCAGAGACAATCGGAATAACAGAAATTGGCTCCTTGTTGACGCCAACCAGACCTCCCAATAAAACATACCCGGAATCTCCTTCCTTCAAGGCCTTTACCACCTGAAGTACAGACAAATAAGGAGACTTCATTTCTTCATCATGAGATGAGACATAAATGGTTTTACTGCAGCAGTCAATCTTCACACAGTACTTGGACAACCAATCCATCCCCTCTCAGCCTCTTGCTGAGTCACTGCATATACTCGGGCAACTGGAGGTGGGAGAGGTAGAGATGGTTCCTCAACCACAATAGGAGCCGGAGTGGCCTGAATAGTAGAAACTTGTCCCCCATTAAAGGGGCAGTCCCTAATAAAATGCCCAGGTTGGCCACATTTGTAACACAATCTTTGCTCTTTTCTGCAAACCCCAGCATGAACTTTACCACATGTAGCACATAGAGAAGCAGGCTTAATATTTCCAGGCTTAGAATTTCCCGCCTTTTTGAACTTACCATCAGACTGTCTAACCTGCAACCCTTTTCCTTTAGAATTCCCAGAAGTGTTTTTAGGACCAGAATTAGGAGCAGATTGGTCCTTATGCTTCCTTCTGTAATATTCTTGAATATTTTTACACTTTTTAACAAGTGCAGCAAAAGTATCAAATGAGTCACCTGCAAGTTTTTCAGAGATGTTATCATGTAATCCTCTATGAAATTTAAAAATCAAGTCATCCTCTGTAGGTGGAGCTCTCTGGAAATGAGAGTATTTGGCCAGCTTATTGAACTTATTCAAGTATTCATCAATAGACATCTGACCCTGCTTTAGTTCTTCAAATTCACCCTTCTTCCTTATCCGGGCTTCAGCCGGAAAGTATTTCAGCAAGAATTGCCTTTCAAATAAAGGCCAGGTAATAGCATAACCCTGACATTCCAAGGGCAGACGGGTATTTCTCCACCAATCAGCTGCATCATTCTGCAACATATAAGAAGCATACAACAATTTCTGCTGATCATCACACTCCATGACAGTAAAAATGCGATCCAATTCTTCTAACCACTGAATTGCAGCAATAGGATCAATGCCTCCTTTATAATTTGGTGGTGCATGTTTTCGGAAGGCATTTAGCATTCTTTCTCTTTGCTCTCTATTAGTGGCTGGCTGTGCCACACCACCCCTGTGACTAGATTCTTCATTCACATCATTATTTCCTTCACCCTCCACAACAATGGGATTATGAGGAGGAGGAACAGGCTGTTGTGGTTGTGGCTCAGGCTGTGGCTGTTGCAAAGGCTGTGGCTGTGGACCTTGCCCACCCGCCCTCACCTCAACCAAGAGTAATCTCATCATTTCAATATTCGCCATTCTGCTTGCTGCCATCATTTCTTGATTGGCCAACCTATTAGCCTCTAACAGATCTTGATTTGCTTTCATCATCACTTCTAGCTCTCGCTGCCTAGCTGCAGCCATATTTTGTTGCATCTCAGTTAAGGCCATTATCATTGGATCTGGCTGTGAAGTATTTCCCCGCGGGTTAAGTCGGGGTCTTGCCAAATCTGCCAATATTGGATCGGTCGGGTCAATAGGAGGATCAGAAGTCCTTCTTGGGCGAACCATAATTCTGCATATTTCACACAAAGGAATGAGTTAGCTACGCTCACACTCGGTGATCAGACATGCATATCATAGTATTCCAAGAAAAACTCAAGAACATAACAACCCGAACAGTTCATGCAATATTTCATAGGCTCTCCTAGAGAAACTGCTCTGATACCATAAATGTAACATCCCCGTCTCGAGCCGGTTCAATTAACATACATATGATACAAACAGAAACAGCGGAAGACTTAACTTACAAAAATATGAGCTAACTTTTTCTTTTTCTAACTTAATTCTTACTCGGCGTAAACGAAAATCGGGCAGAGTTTCCTCTATAAATCGGACAACTGGGGATTTTCCAATCCCACTCAGAAGCATTTCCTGATAAACAGTTTATACAACATATCAATTCAGAAATACCAGATATCCAAATATAATCAAATACCCATACATGGGCGCATGCATAACATGGCTCCGTGCCACTAAATCTAACAGCATGCCATCAAAACATAAACCTATCTGAATACTACATCATCATATAACGTTCCTGAATACTCAAATGTACATGCATCAACTGATAGACATGTACAAAACATATACAGGCCATATACAAAATAAAGGATCAATATCATGATCCATCAAATGCGAAAATACTAAAATACATCAAACACTCCAAAAAGGTAGTAGCCTACAGCCACTCAAAATCCGGTCTGTCAACTGCCTCAGCCACGTGTCGTGTCCCTGTCTAGTGAGGACTCACCGGAAATCTGGGCCCCTGAAAATGTGTCCCCAAAGAGGGGTGAGATTACAAATCTCAATAAGCTCCAGGTTTATAGAGAATTCTCCATACCCCTGGCTCACTCCTGCATGAAATTCAGATACAGAGTATACAAATACAACATATAACAGATATCATAACAGAACAGAGCATATATCCATATCATATCAGAGATGTGCGCCGTCATTCCCAAGGGAGGACCCCAAGCGGAAATCAACGCACGTGTTCCCGAGGGAGGACCCCAAAGTGGAACCAGACATATCAGAGGAGTACACCATCAGTCCCGAGGGAGGACCCCAAAGCGGACGTCCGGGTACTATACAATCAATGGCCAGAGATTGTTACAGAAATCATATTACAGAAGTCATATCAGAGCAAAACATATCATGTTATCAAATAACTCTATATGAATGCATCTATACAAAGCATCTAAATCACAGTCATACAGTCCAACTATAGTTCACTAACCATGGTGGAGCACTCAAGCAGGAAAAGACTCCTTAAACATAGAGCTTACCTCTTGAAGCTTTACCAATACGCTTACTTGTGGAACAAGTTACTTTTATCGCTTCAAGAGATTTTCGATCCTTCTCAATCCCTAGGCACACCTAGAGAATAATTTACAATGCATCAATAAAATGATGCAATACCATGATTATTTCATAAGCATACATTTTATCGCTTATTTTCCTTTCTTTATATTTTTGCCAATTCTATGCCAATACACAAGTCTAGACCTCTATACACCCGTTGGCGTTCTTTAATTTAATCAAGCATTTACTTAAGAATTTTTCACATAAATCATGTTATTTTTCTTTAAAAGTCGCGGGCGTACCCTTAGGGACTCAAGGTATTTTTCAACCATTTGTCAAAGCATTTCACTTCTTAGCTCATCCATTGGTATATTAAAATGCAACCCATTTTATTAGAATAAAATGTAACCAATATATATATACCCCTAAACATCCTATAGTTCGCAACATAGAGCAAGTATTTGTAGGATTTTTTTCTAACTTTGGCATTTCCACCAATTAATCCATTTACACTACATTCCAACATATTTTACCTTTTCAAACATACAATAAAAATTTGCATGATGAACCCTATATAAGCCATGAAGGCCGAAACCTAGGGGAAAAGTGCACTAGGGCTTTTCAATTTTTTTATCACAAATTAATGCTTACTAAACACTATCATTCCTATACAACAACAATCCATCATAATTTTCACCTTCTAACATCAAATATTTCCCACTCAAAACATGCTCCAAATTTTCAAAACATAGATCACAAAATAATACCATAGAAATAGAGGTTTCTTACCTCTAATCACTTGTACAAAGCCTAGAGAATAACCTCCAAGCAAAGCTCCATCAAAAACCCACTTTTTCTCCTCCTATGAATAGTAATCCGAAAATAAGAGGAGGAATAACTCTTCACACACTCAACTATAGCTCAAATGGATAGGTGCAATGGATTCCTTGAGTGGTTCCTAATCAATTTCAAGTGGTGGGTCATAAGATTTGGTTGAGAATTCAAGAAGAAATCAACAAAACAAGCAAAACCCTAACCCCCCCTTTTCCATGGCTGAAGCTCGGCTCTTCAAGAGAGAGAAGAAGAAATTTTTGCAATGAATAGTGATTCATTTAAGTGGCCAAGCTATTTAGGCACATGTGGCCCTTTTGTCGGATGTTTTTCTATCGCGTATTTCACTTAAATTTACCGGAAACTTAACTTAAAGCTACGGATATATTTTTATTTTTCTAAAGTTATTTAAATTAATTTTTATTTCCTAAGGAACAATATTCATAATTCACAGTATGGTTTTTGCACCGTTTTTAACGAAATGCACTGTGAATCACTAACTGTACTTTATTTAATTCTGAAACTTAACACTTATAAACTTATCATTTTCTTGGGCCTATATTGACTTGCTTGGCATATATTGGACTTTCTTATTCTTATTTCGTCAATTATTTATTTCTGGACTCTACCGGTTGCTTAAACAGCAGTACAAAATACCCGGTAGAAACACTATTCACGAGATTTTCACGGAAAGTGCCAGACTATACAATTTTTCGTTCTGAACTCATATTTGTCATCAGAATTTTCAAATTATGTTCCTAAAATTATTTTGCTCATTTTAAGCTCTACCGGTTAATTCACAAAACTGTAAATTCTCCGGCAGAACGCACTGTTCATAACATAGTCATGATTACAGTCAAAATACTCGAAATCGCTCACTGAATCTAATTATGGCATTTAAATCCTTAAATTAAATCTCTAACTAAGATTTACCAGTTAGGGTCATTATATTTGTCTCCATCACCATTTTATGAGAAAACAACATTAATCCGAGTGGGTTGAGTCTCTGGAGAGTACTCTTTGCTCCACTATATCTCATTGTCACTAATTACTCAGTAGACTTCAATCAAATTCTGCTTTTCACACTTACCGTTTACATTTATACCTATTTTTTGCATCTTTAAAATATCTAACCAACCCTTGTCTACCACCACCACACACCATAAAGGAAAAAACCAATTCCTAATGGGCAACAGAGTTATGATGGGGAGTTCCTTTCTCTTTATCTCTTTCTTCATCTTCAGCTTAGGATTCTCAGTGGCTCAAAAGTCTCCAGCTGTTTATGTATTTGGAGACTCACTTGTTGATGTTGGCAACAACAATTACTTGAGTCATTCCATTGAAAAGGCAATTCTTCCTCACTATGGCATTGATTTGCCAACTAAGAAACCCAGTGGGAGGTTTAGCAATGGCATGAATGCTGCAGATTTGATTGGTAAGTGATATTCAAAAAATGACTCTGTTGGTTCTTCAAACATTCATACATTCAGTTGTTTATTGAAGGTACCTTTGAAGATGATAATCTTATTATGAACATTAAAAAACCATATATTGGTCCTTTGCAATCTTCTTTTGTTATAACTCTTCACTAGCTTCGCTACTTTTCTATTTCAACATTAAACTTTGACAATAGCACTATTCTTATTTAAACAGATCTAGAGAGAGATGTTTCATTTTTTTAACTCTATCTAGTCTTCCATTTATTTCTTAGTATTGAATAAGTAAATATAGTTTCTGCATGATTCTAATGGTGAATGTTAAGTTTCAAGTCTTTTAATTAGGAAGCACTGCAAACTTTGCAAATTGAACCACTTTTTATAATTTCCTAAAATTTTGTGGAATTTTAAATTGAACCACTCCATTAAACAAGATTTAATGGAGTGGTATATAGATTGGTGGACGGTATGTCTTAGAACGGAATGGAGAAAAACTATAAGCATAATGGAGGGTTAGACCCGTTGTTATTCCTATGTTCCAGATGGTCTTTTTTTAGTCCTTTTCCCCTTCGTATCCCCTCTTCTTCTTTTCCCTTTCTTTTTTACTTTTACTTTTATATTTATATATATATATATAGGGGCAGGATATTCTTACACCAGTGTAAGAATTAGAAGTCTTACACCAAATCTGAATCATTGATTTACTTGAATCTAACGGTTCAAATATCTAATAAATTAGAACCATTAGATAAAAATAGGATCAACGATCAAGATTAAGAGTGTAACTTACACTGGTGTAAAATGATCCTAACCCATATATATATATATATATATATATATATATATATATATATATATATATTCTATTTATTTATTTTTATTTTTACTTTTATGTTTCTTTTTTCAATCTTTTTGTATCTTTTATTTGAGTTCATCTACCACCGACTTCAATTATTTTAGGATAAAGGTGTTGTTGACGTTGATATATATAACTTGTTTTCTGTAATGTTTTCTCCTGTAAGAAATGGTTGATGGGATGACTACCAAAAAGCATAAAAGGAGCATCAACATGGGAGTTAGAAGTAGAGGTGTTCGTGCACTAACTACAAAAAAGTTTATAATGTTAAAATATAATATGCTTTATGGATTATGGGCAAAAGGAAAACTGAATGAATTTTGGTTATGGAAAGGTGGGAAAGTAAAGTGACACAATTTTTTGACTTTCTTTTTCTTTTTCTTTTTGATTGGAAAGACATGAGGATGGGGGAAAACTTGTATACATAAAGGACCAAAAGTTAATGTTATTTACTTTTTGCTGTTTTTATTGAATGATATTGATTACAGTAATGTAAACAAATTATATTTTGCTAATATATGCATCAAATGAATGGTTGGGTGGCAGCTGAAAAATTGGGCCTGCCCACTTCACCACCACCTTATCTCTCCCAAGTATCCAATGTCAACAACAAGAAGAATGTATCCTTCTTGGATGGTGTTAACTTTGCCTCTGGAGGTGCTGGAATATTTAATGCCTCAGATAATAGTTTTGTAAGTGCAGATTAATCCTCTCTTTTCTTTTGCCAATTTTGTTTTTATTTATCTATTTTATTTGATCGGTATATATGTTTCCAAAAAGTATTTTTGCTATCTGATCCAATATGGACCAAAAGTGAGGCCAGCAGGAATAGGCTGGCATTGAGGTTGTGGGCTCCACAATTGAGACATAAACCTAAAATGAGTAATTCATCAAGAAAAAGAGAGCAAAAAATAAATGGAGGAGAATGACTCAAAGCACTAGCAGTTGTCCCACAAACTGAAAATGATAAAATAATGAAAATATTTTGTGGTAAGCGTGTCTCATTGGTTGACATTTATTGCAGACGCAAACAATACCTTTGCCAATGCAAGTGGACTACTACTCACAAGTGTATGAGCAATTGACACAACAAAGCGAATCATATACTCTTCAGAAACATCTCTCAAAATCCATCTTCATTGTTGTGATTGGTAGCAACGATATCTTTGGTTACTTTGACTCAAGGGATCGTCAAAAGAAAAGCACCCCACAACAGTACGTGAATTCCATGACCTCCTCACTAAAAGCGCAACTACAGGTAAACACAATGGCTGTAAATTGGAAGTTACTACTTACCACTTACATGGTCAAGATTGTATGCCTATAAGGGTCATAATTTAAGTTATTTGCATGTATTTTCATTTTGGTTTGGTAACTTTTTGGCAGAGATTATACAACTACGGAGCAAGGAAATTTGAGATTGCTGGTGTTGGTACAATTGGATGCTGTCCCGCATACAGGCTCAAGAACAAAACAGAATGCGTTTCAGAAGCCAATTTCTTGTCGGTTAAATACAATGAAGGCCTACAGTCCATGTTAAAGGAATGGCAATTAGAGAACAAGAACTTAAGTTACTCCTACTTCAATACTTATGCCGCTATCGAAGAACTCATTCAGAACCCAACTTCTTACGGTATTATCAGAGTGTCCTATATCTCTTCACATTATATTTAGTCTAGACATTGGATTTAGGACACCATGATTCACATAAACAACTTGTTTAACATGATTTTTTATTTTTTATTTAAAAAAAACTTCATAAAAATTATCACATAACTTTATAATCAACAGTAAATAGTATATTTGGTATTAGTTTCCCAACATGTGATAAAAAGGGGGGGGTATAGAAAATTGCATGGATTCAGATGAGGAGAACGAGATTTTTAAAAGAATTTATATCACTTTTACAGGATTTGCAGATGTGAAAGCTGCTTGTTGTGGACTTGGTGAACTGAACGCCCAAGTTCCATGCTTGCCAATTTCGAACCTTTGTTCCAACAGACAAGATCATATCTTCTGGGATTCATACCATCCTACAGAGGCAGCTACTCGTGTATTTGTGGATGAAATTTTCAATGGACCTTCAAAATACGCATCTCCCATTAATATGGTACAGCTACTAGGTATCTGAAATTGGCAAATCAATTAGTCCTTTCAAATGTCCTTTTTTTGGGGTGTTACTAGTTTTCAAACAACCAGAGAATAAAGAAAGAAAGAAAGAAAAAAAGTATTACAACTAGAATCCCCAAGTGAGAAGTGAATAAGTAATTTAATTGAAGAGTAAGGCATTTTGGTAAGAAACCTGTTTTACAAGTTTAATCAATGAAATAGAAAGTAGCATACACGGTCATTTCTTCCACCATCAATCATCGACAGGACATGGCAGATATAAAGCTATTAATAGAACTTGGTTGATCATGTTGAAAATAGTATTAGACTTGATATAGCTTTATTAGAATGATGATCAAGGAGAAAAAGAATGGAATGTAGAAAGTAAAGAGATAAACAAACAACAAGTCTTACCTGATTTAAAGCCAAGCCCAACAGCTAAGCAAAGTCCAGTCCAGCAAAGCCCAACAGATAAAGCAGCTAATGGTTAAAAGAAGCTTCCAGATAGTTGCTAGGATTTGTTTCAAGTTTGTTAGCTCAGTTACTTTTCTGTTATACTTTCAGTTCTTGCATTCTTCAGTTACAGCTGTTAGAAGCTGATTGATTGTAGCTCATAGCTCTCTATATATGGAGACAGAACTCTTTGTATCAAGTAACTTAATGAGAATCTTTCATTACTTCAAGATCAAGATGGTATCAGAGCTGTGATATTTTGCTTCCGAAAAATTTATTTCCCTTCTTCTTTCTCAAGAAACTCGATTTCATTTCTTCTACTCTGCAATGGAAAATCCATTTGCAATCCCTAATTTTAAAACAATCCCTCACATCCTCTTTTCTTACATCCTAATGAAAACTGTCCCTAATCTTGGTTTCAACACCTTTGAACGGTATAATAACCTGTTGAGATATATAAAACCATTAATGTAGCCTCACCCAACAGCTTAAGCTTTTGGGTTGAATTGGTTCTTTACATGGTATCAGAGCCTCGTATCCCGGGTTCGAACCTCACCGCCCCCCACTTTCTTTGTAGTGGAATTTTTTTCTTCGCACAGATAGGTGGGCCTGTGCATTATCCATCTTTCAAGCCCAATGAGCTCTCGTGTGAGGGGGCGTGTTGAGAAATATAAAACTATTAATGTAGCCTCACCAACAGCTTAAGCTTTTTGGTTAAATTAGTTCTTTACATAACCCTAATTTCAAAATTGTGAATTTAGAGGATGATTAAGAGTTTAATCATGATTATTAAAGATTTATTAGGCAAAGAATCTAATTATGTGAAAATAAGTCACTTTTGGGCAAAAGTGCAAATAGTGAAAGTTTTGGGGTTAAAATACAATTAGGCAAAAGTTACCCAAAACTGGTAAATAATGTAGTGAGATATTATAAAATGACTTTTGTAAAAGTTAAAATCCATTGAAAGCGATTAGATCATGAATTCCATTCCAATTAGCTTCTGTTTTACTAAAACACCAGAATCTGCTACAGCGCTTTCACTTACTAACTAACCCGCTACAACAATTCTACATTTACCTAGGGTAAAACTCACTTAAGTGAAATTTACCTCACTTTCCACTCATTTTCTGGTCATCCTCATGGAGCAGCAGCAGCCCCCACCCGAAAAAACCTTTCCACCATAGCCAAGGAGCTTCAACATACAACTTCCTCATTTCTCCATCAAAACCCTTAGTGTTGGACATGAAAGTTGTTGGAAATCACTCAACAAAATAGAATCTAGCTTTAATTTGCTCCAAAAATAATTGTACGAAGAGATCATCTCCTCCCTTGATGTGGCGCCATTTTTGGATTTGAAGGAGAAAGGATACATGGGTGCCTTCAAGCTTGGATAAGCCTTACATTGGTCTCCCTTGGTGATTTAGAGGTAAGAAACACAAGCTTTAATGATTGATTTTGATGAATGTCCATGAGGTGAATAGTAAACAACTTGAGTTGTGGTTTGATTTAGGCTTTGGGTCTTTGAAAAGTATGCTTAGAATGGGTTTGAGATGATGAATCAACCATAAAAACTAGCCTACATGTAAATTTGAAATTTAGTCTTGAAAATGTTAGTGTTTGAAGAGGGTTGGTTTGATTAATGATGTTGTGGTGTAATTGGGCCTTGTTTCCTTCACAAAATATGTTAAGGAGCTAATATCAATGATGAAAAAGTGTTGAAATAAGCCTTTGAACCAACATTGTGCTAGGTTTGAAAATTGGTCATGAATAAAGTGTTGAATACTTGGGTTTTATGACTAGTTAGAATGTTGATAGTGATTGTATTCATTTGATTGATAATGTTGAATCAAGTGGACAATTGGTGAGAAATCATGCAAAAAAAGAGCCATTTGAGTCGCTAGTATATTTTGAAAGTGTTGAACAATGGTGATTTTAAGGCTTGGAATAGCCATTTGATGGTAGGTTGTTGGTTGTTTGATTGCGTAGTTTGCAACCAAGTGGTAACTTGGTGGTGGGGCAAGCTTTGGATCAAACTTTAGTGGAAGCTTAAATCCTTGAATATTCAAGAGGAGGGTAAGTCCATCAAATTGAATCCTTTGTGGATTAATAGCTACTAATCATGTGTTTAGTTGTATTCAAGTGTTGACTTGATAGTTGGTATGCTCTTTATGTTAATGAATGAATTTGAATAGGTGACTTTGGTATTTGAAAGGATTTTGATGAGATTGCTTAGGCTTCAAGATAGTTTAACATTGGTTAGGAAGCTTCAAGAGATAAGTTTTTGGTCCTTGGGGTTAATTTCCCGTTTGTTCCACCAAACTCCGAGGGAAGACAGTTCTTTGATATATGGTATGTTATGAAATGAATTTGATATTATGATGCATGTATATGTATGTATGTTTGTGTGCCGCACAAGACGGGTTTCCTTGTGTGCGAGGCATAAGATGGGTTTTCTTATGCGTAGTACAACACAGGCTTCCTTGTACTAGTATGTTGCAAGGCGGGTTTCCTTGCGTAATGCATACATGTTGTATTCTCTGGCCAATAGGATTATTATTGCACGTATGCATTAATATACATATGATAATGCTTTATTTTGGTTTTTACTGTGGTTATGCCTGAAGTGAACTTAGAGGTGGAGGAACCCTCCAAGGTCCCCTAGTTTACTGAGATGATTATCTCATCCTGTGTGGGGACTATATTTCAGGCACAGATACTGATGACATCGAAGCATCATGTGGCAGGAGGCCAGGATATAGTCTACTTGCATGGCATGAGCCTTGGTTGATCATTTTGATGTACATATATTTCACATGATGATATGTATTTTGAGATAGAGCATAAAGAGTGTTTATGCATATGTTGGTAGAAACCTTTATATATTTGTTAGAAGAACATATATAGGGTTTATATGTTGTAAATATTGAATGCCATCGTACATTGCTGTGATCATGTAAATAATTATGTTGTCATATTATTTTGGAACATGATATGTATAAGATAGCCTAAGCAATGGATTGTTAGGAAATATGATTCATGTATGTATGACTTATATAACTTTATGGAATTCAATGCTAAGTTATGTTGAATTAAGGCATCGGGAAGATTGACGGATGAATCATTGAGTTGAGCCTTGAATTGGCAAATGTTGTATAATAAATCAAAGGCACGGAGCTTATTAACTGTAATCCATGGATGGATTTTAGGTTGGATTAATTGTTAGTTAGACTATGTATGGAAATTTTATAACCGTCAATTAGGTACCCTTTCTATGTGGGAATAATCCCCAAAGCCTGCAAATACAAAGGAGATGTCGTCCGTTTATTTTAAAAATATGCGAGATGCAAGAAAGTATCAAGTAATTTTAATTAAACAAGAACTAATTACAAATTGCAATGCAAAAGAAAGAAAAAAACTTATTCACATTTTTATGTTGATACTAATAGTGAATTATAAAGTAAGCTTCCGCGTTTATATAATTAAACATGATGCGCTTAATACCATATGTGATGTTAACAAACCGGATACAAACGGGGTGTTACAAATGGCAGTAACTATCATTCATGGGCTCGGGGAATGACTGTAGCCTTGATTTCGAAGAACACAATCGACTTCATAGATGGTAGCATACCTCCTCCATCCTTTAATGATCCCACCAATGGAGCTTGGCAGGTTGTGATACAATGGTCATGGCCTGCATGCATAGATCAATCTCTGAATCCATTCTCAAGTCGATTTTATGGATAGAGCACTCTCGTGATGTATGGTTGGATTTGCGTGAGAGATTTTCTCAAACAAATATAATCCGCATTTCAGATCTGATGGAGGAATTTTATCGGTTGCACTAATGAGGCAAAACAATAGCTGAATATTACACTCATCTCAAAACTGTATGGGATGAAATAGAAAACCTTAAGCCACTGCCAATTTGTACATGTCATCTGGTTCTTGAAAGGATAAAACAAGCAGTATGCACAAGTTTGTTCACAAATCATGTTAATAGATCTCATTCCAATTGTAAATAAAGCCTTTACCATGATGAGTCAACACAAAAGGTAGTTTCATTTTGAAAAATCACGTAGCTGATGTAAAAAATTCAGAATCTTTCAATGTAACCAATGCTTCTGGAGGAAACAATAGAAGAGGTGGTCTTAACAATGGAAGAAGATTCAACAGTAGAGGTTGAGGAAGAAATAGCATTGGTAGAGGCCAATCTAATCGAGTTTGCACACATTGTGGCAAGAACAATCATACAGTGGAAACATTTTACATTGCATGGCTTTCCACGGGGTAATCACACCAGAAACTCAAGTGAAAATGCTACAAATACACATCCAAAAACATCTTTCATCGTTCCTTCTCAAGAAAATGCTGATTCAACACCACCTTTTATGCATATGAGCCAAGATCAGTACCAGCAACTAATGAACCTTTTACAAAGATCCACTACTCTTCCTCCAGTTCAGAATCCTCTGCTCACTCATGCTAACAATTTAACACAAGTTTCACATATCACTACACAAACCTCTCAGCCAGGTATTCAAAATTGTCAATGGATTATAGACACAGGTGCAACAAATCACATCTCTCACTCTATTTCTGATTTTTCTTCGATTCATAAAATTGAGCCTTTCTCCATATTGTTGCCAAATGGTTCTCGAGTATTGGCTCATTTTTCAGGCACTGTTTTTTCTCAATCCCAAACTGATTCTTTTAAATGTTTTATATATGCCTCAGTTTCATGTCAATCTTGTATCAGTTTCGAAATTGATTGCAAATCTCCCATGCTCACTCACTTTCACTGGTGAATTTTGTATCATTAAAAAGACCAACTCCCAGACGATGATGGGTATGGCTAAGAGGAGTAATGGCCTTTACGTGATAGTCAATAAAGAAGCCTTACAAGTGAAGCAAACTGCAAAGCTTGAGAAAGGCTGTAATAATGCTTACAGTGAAGAAGATGCACCTACTGTGTGGCACAGATGTTTGGGTCACCTTTAAGAAAATATCTTACATAAAATGTCTTAAGAATTTCCTTTCATTCCTGATAATCATGTAACTCCTTGTGATATATGCCATTTAGCAAAACAAAAGAGACTCCCTTTCACTTCCCAATCATAGTAAGACTAATGAAGTGTTCAATCTGTGTTACTATTGATATTTGGGGTCCCTTTTCTATTGCATCTAATAATGGTGACCGAATCTTTCTTACAATGGTGGATGATTATTCACGTTTTACTTGAATTTTTCTAATGAAAAGTAAAAGTGAAGCTAGACAGCACATTCGTAATTTCATCACCTTCATTGAGACAAGATTCAACACCTTGCTTATAGTCATCCGAAGTGATAGTGGATCTGAATTCATTATGACCGAATTTTACAAACAAAAAGGGATTATTCACCAAACAAGTTGTATGGAAACTCCCCAACAAAATGGCTAAGTGGAAAGGAAACACCAACACTTGTTGAATGCAGCTCGTGCCCTTATCTTCCAAGCCAACTTTCCCTTTCAATTTTGGAGTTATGTAGTCCTTCATGCTACCCACCTTATCAATCGGATATGTACTCCACTTCTCAAAGACTTGACACCATACCAGAAACTATATGGTAATCCCCCTCCCCTTGTCCTCCTTCGAGTTTCTGGTTGCTTGTGTTATGCCTCTTGTTTCATTGCACCAAGTTTAGTCCCAGAGCCCCCAAAGTCGTGTTCCTTGGATTCCGAGATGGAACCAACGGCTATCTCCTATTTGACCTCCAATCTAGATACATCTTGTCCCGAAACGTGATCTTCATGAGAACCATTTCCCATTTCTTCATACCTCTACACCACAGACTCAAAGACAAGCTCCCACCCATCAGTTAATATATGATAACCCAGCATCCTACCTTTCTTTCCCTGATATCTTCAACCAAAACAACACGTCACCTACTTCACTTTCACCTTCATCTTCTATACCTCCACCTTCACCCATCCAGATAACCATGATATTGTCCCTCTACCAAACACCAGTGACCACGAGCCTCCACTATCTTCATCAGCAAATGAGCAAAATCCTCCACTCCATAGATCATCACGTGTAAGGCAACCTCCAACATATCTTAATGACTATCACTATGGGCTCTCCTCTGCAGTCCAATTTCGTCCAGGTATTTATTCCCCTCCCACTAAATATCCTTTATCAAATGCCATATCTCTTATGATTAATGCACCTAAGCTTTTTAGCATTTCTGTCTCAATTCTAGTACCCATGTTGAACCACGCACCTATAAGCAAGCAGCTAAGTTCTCATATTGGCAGCAAGCCAAGGAGAAAGAGCTTGCAGTTCTTGATTTTAATCACACTCGGTCTCTAGTCCCACTACCCCCTAGTAAGCAAATCATTGGGTGTAAGTGGGTTTACAAAATCAAATACAACTCAAATAGCTCCATTGAAAGAAAGGTATAAAGCCTGCCTGGTTCCAAAAGGCTTTACTCAACAAAAGGGTATAGACTACTTTGACACTTTTTCTCCGATAGCAAAACTTACTTCAGTCAGAACCTTGCTTGTCGCCACTACCATCAAAGGTTGGTTTCTTGAGCAGTTGGATGTTGACAATACATTCCTCCATGTTGATCTCAACGAGGTGTATATGGACCCTCCCCTTGGTCCCTCTTGTCCTACGAACATGATTTGTAAGCTCTAAAAATCCCTTTGTTGGCTCAAGCAAGCTGCCAATGGCATTCAAAGTTTCATCTGCTTTTATCTCATTTGGTTACACTTAAGCTCAGGCGAATCACTCTTTATTCACGCGAAGCACTCCCTCATCATTTACAGTACTGCTTGAATATGTTGATGACGCGGTACTATCTGACACCTGCATGAATGAGATCAACCGTGTCAAAGCCTTTCTCCATGAGCAATTCTGTATAAAAGACCTTGGGCACTTGCGTTTCTTTCTAGGATTTGAGGTTGCACGATCAAAGTTTGAAATTTTCCTTAATTGTAAAGAAATGTAGAATTATAGAACTGGTTTTTCTGTTTAATGGTCTGAGTGAAATGCACCCAGCAGCGTGCTATTTATACACAAGGATTAAAAAATTATAGGAATGGTTGTAAAGAAATATAAAATTATAGAATTGATTTTTCTGTTTAATGGTCTGAATGAAATGCACCCAACAGTATGCTATTTATACACAAGGATTTAGTAAATACAAGTGATATTTACAAGACCACTTCCTAGGTGATATAGTACCCACTAACATTTAATGTTAGTTCTCCATTATACATTAAGTATGACAATTTCCTATGCCACTAATGCTTCAACTTCCCACACTCCCCCTCAAGCTGGAGAATAGACATTTTCCATTCCCGGCTTGGGTACTATATTCTGAGATACTGAACTACTTAATCCTTTGGTGAATATGTCAACAAGTTGTTGTTGAGTGGAGACATAAGGTGTGCAAATTAGACCACTTTCAAGTTTTTCTTAAATGAAGTGTCGATCAACCTTTGTGTTTGGTGCGATCATGCTGAACTGGGTTATGGGCTATTCTGATTGCAGACTTATTGTCACAATAGAGTCGCATTGGTCCTTCTCTTTTAACTCATAAATCATTAAGAAGAATTTTAAGCCACCATAGTTCACAGACTCCCTGATTGTGCCACTACATTCTGTTTTTTACTTCTCCATGTTACTAAATTTCCTCCAATAAAAGTGCAGTAACCAGTAGTAGACCTACAGTCATTTGGTGATCCTGCGTAGTCAGCATCAGTGTATGCTTCCAATAGTACCCCTTCTCCTTGTCTAAATAGAATGCCTTTTCCAGGTGTCCTTTTTAAGAAAATAAATAACTCGGTATGCGGCCTGCAAGTGAGTTTCCTTTGGGTTGTGCATAAAATGACTTATTACACTTACAACAAATGCAATGTCTGGTCTTGTGTGTGACAAGTAAATGAGCTTTCCTACTAGCTGTTGATATATTTATTTGTTCTCCGGAGCATCTTCAGCTAGTCCCAACTT